ATTGATTTTAGCTCCTTTGTCAAATGTAAGTTGGTTGTAGTTGCTTAGATTGATTTCTGGCATTTCTATCCTATTCCATCGGTCTATCCAACTGTTTTTATATCAGTACCAGGCTGTTTTGATCAAAATTGCCCTGTAGTATGTCTTGAAATCTGGTAATGTGATGCCTCCTGCTTTGTTTTTGTTGTATAAGATTGCTTTAGCTATTCAGAGACTCCTATGTTTCCATATGCATTTCAGCAGCACTTCTTTCTATATCCAAGAAGAATGCCCTTGGTATTCTGATTGTTACTGCATTGAATCTGTGAATTGCTTTCGGTAGTATGGACATTTTGTTTATATTGATTCTTCCAATCCATGAACACGAAGATTTTTCCATTTTTTGTGTCTATTTTTATTTCTTTCTTTAATGCTTTGTAATTCTCATCATAGAGATCTCTGACATCCTTGGTTATATTTACTCCAAGTTATTTAACTTTTTTGTAGCTATTGTGAATGAGATTGATCTTAGAAATCTTTCTCAGCCAAGGCATTGTCTGTGTATACAAAGGCTATTTATTTTTTTGTGTTGATTTTATATCCTGCCATTTTACCAAACCCTTCTATGAGTTTTAACAGTCTCTTCATGGAGTCTTTTGGACCCCCTATATACAGAATCATGTCATCTGCAAATAGGGATAATTTGACTTTCTCCTTCCTAATTTGTATTCCTTTGACTTCTTTTTCTTGCCTAATGGCTCTGGCTAAAACTTCCAGGACTATATTGAATAGCAATGTGAGAGAGAGCATCTTTTTCTGGTTCTGGATCTCAGAGGGAATGCTTCCCTCTTTTCCCCATTCAATAGGACACTGGCTGTGGGTTTGTCATAAATTGCCTTGATTGTATTGAGAAATGTTCCTTTTATACCCAACTTGCTTAAAGTTTTCATCATGAAAGGGTGTTGCATTTTATCAAATGCTTTCTCTGCATTTATCAAGATAATCATATGTTTGTTGTTCTCCAGTTTGTTAATGTAATGTACCACATTGATTGATTTGTGAATGTTGAACCATCCCTGTATATCAGGGATAAATCCAATTTGTTTTGGGTGAATGATCTTCCTGATGTGTTGTTGGATTGATTGGCTAGAAATTTGTTGAGAATTTTTGTGTCTGTATTCATCAGTGAAATTGGTCTGCAGTTCTCTTTTTCTGTTGTATCTTTTTCAGGTTTAGGAATTAAGGTGATGCTGGTTTCATAGAAAGAATTTGGGAGGATTCCCTCCCTTTCAATTGTTTTGAATGGCATCAGAAGAATTAGAGTTAGTTCTTCTTTAAATGTCTGGTAGAATTCAGCAGTGAAGGCATTAGGTCCTGGGCTTTTCTTTGCTGGTAGGGTCTTTACTACTGATTCAATTTCCATCTTGGTTATGGGTCTGTTTAGGTTTTCTATGTCTTCATGGCTCAACTTAGGTTGTATGTGTCCAGGAATTGACCCATTTCTTCTAGGTTTCCCAGCTTTTTGGCATACAGCTCTTTGTGGTAATTTGTGATGATTTGTTTTATTTCTGTGGTGTCTGTTGTTACATTTCCTTTTTCATCTCTAATTTATTGATTTGGGTCTTCTGTCTCTTTCTTTTGATTAGTTGAGTCAATGGTGTGTCAATTTTATTTATTTTTTCAAAAAACCAGCTCTTCATTTGCTGAGCTTTTGTATTTTTTTTTGATTCAGTTTTGTTGATTTCTTCTCTAATTTTAATTATCTCTCTTCTCTGCTAGTTTTGGGTTTGGTTTGCTGTTGTTTTTCTAGATCCTTGAGATGTATTGATAGCTCATTTATTTGGTGCCTTTCCAATTTCTTGATGTAGGCAGCAGTTGCTATAAACTGTCCTCTTAACATTGCTTTTGCAGTATCTCGTAAGTTTTGATATGTTGCATTTTCATCTTCATTCATTTCCAGAATTTTTTTAATTTTTCTTTCTATTTCTTCAATGACTCACTGTTTTTCAAGAACATGTTGTTCAGTCTCCACATGTTTACATATATTCTAGAGATTCTTGAATTGTTGATTCCCAGCTTCATTCTATTGTGGTCAGAGAAGATGCATGGTATGATTTCGATTTATTTGAATTTCCTGAGACTTGTTCTATAGCCTAGCATGTGGTCTATCCTAGAGAAAGTTCCATGTGCTGCTGAGAAGAATGTGCACTCTGCATCTGTGGGTTGAAAAGTTCTGTAGGTTTCTGTTAGGTCCATATAGTGTTGATTAACTCTGCTACTTCCTTGTTGATTTTCAGTCTGGTTGATCTGTTTATTGCTGAACATGGAGTATTAAAGTCCCCCATTACTATTGTATTGGGGTAGATCTATATCTCCCTTTTGATCCATTAATGTTTCTATTAAATAGCTAGGTGCCCTGTAATTAGGTGCGTATATATTTATTATAGTCACATCTTTTTGTTGAATGATCCCTTAATCATGACATGGTTCCCTTCTTTGCCTCCTTTAACAGTTTTTGTATTAAAATCTATTTTTTGTGATATTAGGATGGCTATATCAGCTCTTTTTTGGTTTTTGTTAGCATAGAAAATCTTTTTCCATCCTTTCAGTTTCATTCTACATGTATCTTTTTTGTTGAGATGTGTTTCTTGTAGGCAGCAAATAGATAGGTTTTGTTTTTTTAACCCATGCAAGGTTTGCACTTCTCATCTACCCTCACTAGATGCCTGGAGGCTCTGTTGAAGTTGTTTTGTGAACAGAGTGTTAGGCTCACTATTTTGTGCCTTCTCAAGTTGGTGTTGCACTCATGACTGTTCTAGTACCTTAAAATATTTTTTGAAAATAATCTGTTCAGTGTTTCCATCTGTTCTTGGTAGAAACCCCTTTATCACTGTAATTTTAATTTGCATTTATTTCATTATCAACAAAATGAATCCTTTTTTCATGTGGTGGTAGCTCTTTTTTATTTCTTCTTTAATGAACGGCTCAAATCTTCTCAAACCCATTTTTCTATTGGGTTCTTGAGATTCATATTTGTAAAAACCTTTTATGTAGTAAAGATATTTTTAAACTTTTACCTGTGATGAATGGTGAAAATATTTTCCTTCAACTTGTAACTTTTCTTTTTCTATATTCCTTATGGCATTTTTTCTATCCAAACCTTTTTGCTTATAAAGTCAAACATTTCCATTTTTCCTTACTACTTCTATGTTTGAGGATTAGATAGAAAATTTTTCCTGCTGCCAGGCCTACAAAAAGCCATTAATGATTTCTTCTGTGATTGTGTGTTCAAAGAGTATGTTGATGAGCAGTTGAGAAATGGTATACCTTCCAGAACTGACAGAGTAAGTGTATGATATAGTGTTAATAAGTCATGCTGTGAGTTTCAAGTTTTGTTTTCCTTTGCCCAGCCTTGACTTCAGGAACTAATGGAAATAACTCATGGACATAGTGACTTTCATGATATCCTTAAAGAACTTGAGAAACCAGGAGTTATTTTTCCCTTGCTTGTGCTAGACTTTCCCTGGTTTCTCTCAAAGTCAATGTTAGTCTATAGTGGTGTTTCCCAGACACCCACATATTTACTTCACAGTTCCATCACGGAGCTTGTTGGCCTCTTCTCTTCGGTGATCTTAGGCTTAAAAACTCAAATCTAAAATGGCTGTTCATCTTTCCCCATTCTTCTTATGTTCTGCTTTCAAGTGCTGTCCTCCTTACTGTCTGTCCACCCAGAATCAGAGTTCTGTCATTTTTTAATTATAAACCATTTTTAAAGACTTCCATTTATTTATTCATTTGAAAGGCAGAGAGAGAAAAGAAAGACAGGAGGAGATACTCAATCCATGTCTCCCAGGACCCAAGTACATGAACCAGCACCAGTTGCCTCCCAAAGTGCGTATTAGCAGGAAGCCGGAATCAGGACCCGGAGCCAGGACTCAACCCTGGCACTGTGCTATGGGATGTTGTGGGTACCCCACAGGACATCTTAACCATTGCCCCAAATGCCTGCCTAGAATCATACTTCTCGATGGTCATCTTCAGTAAGTCATTAACAAGAGTACAAAGTATACCTCTGCTGTTCTCTTCCTACTGGAGCTTTTCCTTCCTGGCTTCATCCTCACCAAGAGACACACAAAGTTTAACACACTCTGGGCTCTATCAGTACTCATGTAATAAAAATGAATTTAATCTTCTGCTTTTAAAAAAAGTACAGACATGATTAAAAAAAAAAAACCTTTTAAAATTAGGTGTTTTCTAGCACTTTACCTATGTCTGCGTTTGTATTTACAAATATTCTTGCTCTTCAAAATTGGAACATGTAATAGATATTTAAGAAGGAAGAGAGTATTATCCTTTGAAACATCTGGAAATTTTCTCACAATACATAAAATAATCCTGTTTCTACTACATCTAAACATGTTATACAACTTCAACAAAAGCAAATGGATAACACATCATTTGAAGCTATGGAAACAAAGAGCCACAGTGGAAATCAACTTAAAACTGACTTCTCAGCAACCCAAAATGGCAACACTTGAGATAGTCTCCCTGGGAGGCAATAAAGCCAATCGTTTGTGTTTAAACAATAAAAGAAGAAAAAAAAAAAACCCTCACTGTCAAGAGAATACATCTTTCAGTTTTCAGGTGTGCCTAAGGCAAGATAGATTTTCTCTTTTTTTCTTCAAAGGTTAAACACACACAAACACACACACACATATACACACTTCCCTAAATTTAAATTGTAGGTTGTTCTGTTTTCCTTGTCATGGTACCAGATTTCTGGTTTGAGAGATTGCATATGTATGTGCATGATTATCTCCCAAATTAAAGAGAGTGTAGGAGTCAGCGTAGAGTACACAGGTAGCTCAGTCGAGTGTTTGCTCCTGTCTCCTTTCCTGCAGAAGCTGAATGGCAGGAGTCTGTTTAAATAGAAGAGGGTAGTGCAGGGGGACAGAGTGCTTGGCACTCGGGCTGTTGTCTGTTCTCGGTTAATCAGAGACGGTCTTCTTTCTGTCTTTCAGCTCCAGATGAGGACACACCAAGGGTGGCTGTGAAAAGTGAAACCTCCGGTGACACAGACAATGTGACAGGTCCTGAGGGTAAGGTTTTGAGGAAGCTGAGCCCAGGAAAACTGTGCACGAGGCCCTTGTCTGAGTGTCAGCTAGGATTAAAGGAGTTTTCTGTTCCAGGAATCAACATATTCAGTTAGAACAAGATACATTTCAAAAGCCGTATTCAAGGAGCCAATAGGAATGGCGGCCTCTTTTTATTTTAACTGATGCTAGATGTTTTAATAAACCGCGTGCTTCACTTTAAACATACTTTACTCTACTGACCCCACAGTGAGTCATTCCAAGTCTAAACTGAACTGAATTCTAGCTGGTGAACTTTGGAAATATCACTTACTTCTGCAAAAAGTTATTTCCCTACTGCAGTCCCCAATCCACTTAACATTCAGGGGAGCCCTAGCTTGAGTTTAGGCTAATGGCATTCTAGGGCCTGCATTACTTCACCTCGCCTTATTACATCTTATCCCTCTGCCAAAATGCCATGTCTTTGAAAGAATTTTAAAAATAAATTTACAAAAAGCTTTCATTATTCACATCTAATTTTGAAGGCATCTAAAGATTCCGAGCCTCAAAAATACTAATGTCCTCTTGTCCTGGAAAAGAATTCTAAGAACCCTTTGAAATACCATTACTTGCATTAGAAAAGCACCCATTTGAACACACATGATTTAATATTTTATTCCTCTGACTCATAGAGCTTAGGAAATCCAGAATTGGGCAGGTGACCAACGGTTTATATATCTTGTTATTTGGGTCATTTTCGCCAAAGAAGTAAATGTGTTCTGGGAGTTAATTATGACTTTGGGAAAACTCCAGCCAGTGGTGGAAATGACATGGTGGCCTCAACCAGAGTTTCTTACATGAGGTCTTTCTCCCTCCTCTAGGCTTCCCTTCACCTGGATTGCCTCCATGAATCATAAGTCCCACTGAACAAACTGATTTTCTACTCATGGACATGCATTACCTAGAGAATAATGTTTCTAAAACACCATCCGTTAAAACTGTTAGTCATGCTCACTTGAACTAAGTCAGCCTGATTGTGATGCTATAGACATAGTTAACTAGGTAATTAACAAAACATTCTGAGGAATATCAGGCCCATACAATGCTCCTTGAGTAAAAGAGAAATAGTGTGTAAAATACTAACTTTTAGTCTGTATTTTAGATTCACCATGCACAGGGAGGATTGTGGGTTCTCAGAAGTTTTGGCAGTAAAAAAAAAAAAGCCTTATTTAACATAGTTTATCATTGCTTCTTTCAGAGTTATTTGATCATGGAATGCTTTTTATAGCAATGTTTATTAATAGACTTTGAAGCTACTGTCCCTTAGTTGAAAGAAGAAATAAAAAAGGAATATGTTTCCATATTTTATATCACACATTTCTTCTACGAGATGCGTGAACTTGAAATAATTTGTGTGAATGACTCTCTTTACATACACCAGGTCGGTTTACACATGGGGGTTTAGGGCCGGTGCCGTGGCTCACTTGTTTTAATCCTCCGCCTGTGGCGCCAGCATCCCATATGGGCACCAGGTTCTGGTCCCGGTTGCTCCTTTTCCAGTCCAGCTCTCTGCCATGGCCTGGGAGGGCAGTAGAGGGTGGCCCAGGTGCTTGGGCCCCTGCACCTGCATCAGAGACCAGGAGGAAGCACCTGGCTCCTGGCTTTGGATCAGCACAGCGCCAGCCGTGGTAGCCATTTGGGGAAGGAGGGAAGACCTTTCTCTGTCTCTCTCTCACTGTCTATGACTCTACCTGTCAAATAAAAAAAAACATATGGGGGTTTAAAATAAGATCACATGTCATTAGGAACTCAAGTTAGGCTTCAGGTGAGAACAAGGAGATCTGCTCTTGAAACCTTCCTCATCAGGAGAGAGTTGGGTGGGATGCTAAACAATGTCATTCCCTCTTTCAAGGCTCTTTGGTGTGTGAAACAAACATCTGCCACTATTTTACTATAATCAAGCTTTCACGTTCACGAAAAACAGATTTAGATCGTTGGTTTTGTGCAAATAATTGAAACCACTCAAATGAGAATAAACAGAGGTTACTTATTCAGGGGTTACTGCAGTGCTGCTGTCAGCCATTATCCCTTGTGTTCAGCAGACTCAAAAATAGGGTAGGGAGTGGGAAACCTTTAGAGATAACAAAAGAAAAAAATGGAAGAATTTAGCATCCTATGATTGGAGGTTGTTGGCACAGGGGAAGCTGGAAAATACTAACCAGAAGAGGACCATCTTAGGTGATTGGACTGGGGAGCATATTTGGCTTTTCATGGTTGGTCCCCGGTAGAAACAACAATGGGGCAGCTGACAGTCACTGACCAAGTCCTGCCCATCCTGAGCCAATTCCTACAGAGGCTGTGGCGTGCTTGCCCCAGCTGATTGCTAGAGGGCTTTTAAAGTCAGAGTTTGATTATTACACACGACGTGGCCATTGTCCATGGGTACATTCAGTCTCTCAGCTTATAATGTGGGCTTTGATGCTCTAAAAATATCAGTCTCATGAAACCTGCTGACCCTTGGACATTTCCAAAGTGACTGCTCTGCCTGCCCTGGGCTACTTCTGGAGAATAGCAGTAATTATGCCTCCTGCTATTATGCAAATGCTTGTGTAGAATACACACAGCCAAGTGAAAGCACACATCGGCTCATGGCTGTATAATCTGGTTAGAGGTTTCTGCTTTTCCATTTCATGGTATCTACTGCTGCTGCCCCACTGGCATGTTTTCAGGTCTGTTTTGAATTCTGAAATTGAAAACATGGCAAATGAAACAGATCTCTTGACGTTGCCATTTTGGAGGGACCTGCTTACTATTCTGCATGTTAATGACCTGTTTGGTTTTTTTGTCCCTCCCTTTATTTTCATAGATATCTGCTAAGGCCTTTGAATGTATCAAAGGATGGAAATAAATACATCCAGATTGTCCACCCAAAACTCTGATATAAAATGAAAACCCTGTTTCTGAATTCAGCGAAGAGAAAAAAATGCCCACCCAATACCCACCAGTAAAAATCCATAAAAATGATCCTCAAATCTTGAAGGAATGAAAACACACTGAGAGAAGACATAACTTAAAAAAAAAACAAAATCATAAGCCATTTTAATGTATTTACTATACATGGGTTTAATACATATTTAACCTTTTCTATTTTCTTTTCTGGTTACAGTTGAAATGAGTAGTCAGGTTGACAGTGGTAATGACCCCACAGAGTGTCAGCCAGAAGATTAACTGACAGGTAAGATGCCCCTGTAGTGGAATTTTAAGTTGATTAACTGACCATAGGAATTGTTTGCAAAAGACAAATTGGATTTCCTTTGGTTTAACCATGTACCACAGCATGTCATGGGCTAAACTTGAAAAATCTTTAAACCAAATATATGAAAAAGGATTACTCACCCCCCCCCCCAAAAAAAAAAAACTTGCCATCTTTTCTTCTTTATTATTCAAGAGGCAAAGAAAGAGAGGGATAGCGTGCACTCCCATCCACTGGTTCATTCCCCCAAATGCCTACAACAATTGCAACTAGGCTGGATTAAGCCAGGAGCCAGAAACTTAATCCAAGTCACCCATATGGATGACAGACACCCAACTACCTGAGCTATCATCCACTGCCTCCTGGGGTCTAAGTTAGTGGGAACTGGGAATCAGGAATCGAGCTGGGACTCAAACCCGAGTAGGCACAGTACCGCACAGGCATCCTGACCACTCTTTTAACTGCTAAGCCGGCTGCCTGCCCTGAAGCGTGCCATCTACAAGGGAAAAAGCCAAACCGCAGCATATTCAAATCATACAACACCATGGCTTTCTGCGCTTTGACAGCTAAAACATAATTTTTCCATCTGTCTCACCGCCTAGCCTCCTGGAGGGATCAAATTATTTCAACAACTCTAAGCTTATTCTGAAGCATTGCTTTTCCAGAAGTTACCTGCTGTGTTGTTCGGTGTATCTGGTTTTAAGTATAACACTAAATCTTTGCCCTGGAGAGTGTGTACAGCACAGGAGTATGTTTGGATAGAAACAAGCCTTCCTTGGGTCCTGTCTTCTCCCCTACTACCTGCAGACCTATGCGTCTGCACAAAGGTTTACTGAGTTGAAGGAGCCTCTCGAAACTCCCCAGGATGATAAAAGTCTGAGCCAGACCAGGTTTAGGAGCTTTTCCAGACCAGCATTCGAAATCCCATCAGAGAGTGAAGGATATCTGGAATGATGAGTGGTCTGTAACCCTTTACTTTTCTGTGGGCTGTAAGCAAAATGAGAAGAAAGAAGTCAGCCTCACTCCTGTAACTGTTCCAATTCCTAGCCTAAAATATGTAGTTTAAAAAAATCCTAATGAATAAATGCATTGTGGGTCCTACAGTGTAAGGCACAAATGGTGTGTGGACACCACTGCAGAGCAGCACCTCTCGCAACCCCTGCACCCTCTCTGTAGGTCCCTGAACTCTCCTAGGAGGCCACTGCACCAACATCATTGAGGTAAAGCAAAGGTTGAAAACGTGTGCATCTGCCCCTCCATGATGGTTTCAACATCACTTAAAACTAAATATAGGGGCCGGCGCCGCGGCTCACTAGGCTAATCCTCCGCCTTGCGGCGCCGGCACACCGGGTTCTAGTCCCGGTCAGGGCGCCGGATTCTGTCCCAGTTGCCCCTCTTCCAGGCCAGCTCTCTGCTGTGGCCAGGGAGTGCAGTGGAGAATGGCCCAAGTGCTTGGGCCCTGCACCCCATGGGAGACCAGGAGAAGCACCTGGCTCCTGCCATCGGATCAGCGTGGTGCTCCGGCCGCAGCGCGCCAGCCACGGCGGCCATTGGAGGGTGAAAGGAAAGACCTTTCTCTGTCTCTCTCTCTCACTGTCCACTCTGCCTGTCCAAAAATAAAAATAAAAATAAATAAATAAATACATAAATAAAAAACTAAATATAGGACCATCTGTGTAATACACACATGACATGGGGCTGCTGAAAAAAAGAAGGCCAGGAGCTGGTATTTAGTCTGGCAGTGAAGGTGCTCATACCGCATATCAGAGTGCCTGGGTTAGATTCCCAGCTATGGTTCTTGATTACAACTTCTGTTAATGTGCACCTTTGGAAGCAAGGGTGATGTCTCAAGTGGTTGAGTCCCTTCATCATCCCATGTCCCCTGTGAGAGACCTGGATTGCATTCTCCAGCTCCTAGCTGGGCCATTGCAGGCATTTGGAGAGTGAACCAGCAGATAGGAGCTCTCACTGTCTGCCTCATAAATAAATAAAATTTTAAATGTGCTCATACAAACATAATCTTATAAATACTTCTTCCTTTTTTAACATTGTTCATATATTTTAAATATCCTAAGCTGCAGAAACAGTAAAGATGATAGAGCTGAAATGTTTCCATTAAACGTGATAAATGAAGACTGACCCTGGACAATTTAAATGCAAGCCTTTTCCCCTTTTGTTGCCAAAAATCTATAGACGTCTTGTTTAGAATTTTTTTTCCTATAGATTCTCTCATTTTACTATGTGGTCCATATCCAGATAAAGTACCAGAAAAATATTTTTTCTTGATTAATGTCAAAATTGGTTAATGTCAAGAAATGTTAAAATATTCCTTGGCATAAGCCCATCCGTTAACCCAAATGAATAAGTTGTCAAAGCTTAAATTCCCCAAAATTAACTGAAGGAAACTGAATTCCAAGCAGGAAAAGTGCCTTGCTTAGTGACTAATAAATAGAATTGTAAATATTCCCAATTCAAAAATGTTTGATGATACCATACCACTCCCTAAACAACAGTGGGTTATCCCAGGGACAGCGTAACCTGTGGAGCTTCAGCGGTCTCACAGGAGTTTGCAGAGATTATTTGACAATTCAATCAAAAGAATGAAGGTTTAGTTCTGTGACTCATACTCAAGGAAATTAAAGAAGTAATGTGAAGTGGTATTAGAATTATAGAGTTCAAAGAGATAATATAAGAACATTGAAAGCTATGCAACTGATAACTGGAAAAACTTAGGGATACCATAAATGACAATAGTAGGGCATGTGATTACAGGACAGAATAAGATTTGGTAAGTGCAAGAGTATTTTCTTTCTTTTTTTTTTTAATTTATTTGACAGAGTTATAGACAGTGAGAGAGAGAGACAGAAAGTTCTTCCTTCCGTTGGTTCACCCCCAAGATGGCTGCCACGGCCGGCGCTGCACCGATCCAAAGCCAGGAGCCAGGTGCTTCTTCCTGGTCTCTGATGCGGGTGCAGGGGCCCAAGCACTTAGGCCATCCTCCACTGCCCTCCCGGGCCACAGCAGAGAGCTGGACTGCAAGAGGAGCAGCCGGGACTAGAACCCGGCGCCCATATGAGTTGTTGGCACCGCAGGTGGAGGATTAGCCAAGTGAGCCACAGCGCCGGCCCCCAAAAGTATTTTCAACAAGTATTTGGTGGTGGTAAAGATAGCTATAATCTGAACCATGGGGTCAGAACAAACATGACAGGCTGGACATGACTTCTGGGTTGAACTTCAAGAGATGGAATAAGTTCCAAGTTTGTACTCACATATGTTTCATCCGAGAATCCAGACACCTTGTAAAAAGCTCATGCTGTTTAACATAGAATGAGGGAGACCATGTGGAAAGATGTCCCAGAAACTGAGAGGCCATTTCTAATGTTCTGGCCCCAGCAGATAGTAACTGGAGCAGATGAAGTACCCATCTGAGTCCAGGCTGATTATAGAATCATGAGAAATAAATTATTGAAGTTTAAGGCACTAAATTTGGGGTTTCAGATTATGATACAGAGATAGGCTCTATGGCTAGGGACTTGGGTTTTAATGTCCACCTGGGACCCTGAGCCACTCAAGGTAAAGAGTTGGAACTGATACCTCTGCATAAGTAAGTCTGGGACTCTCAGCTCAAGAAATTAACAAGATTTGTGTCTGCTCAGGGCACTGCATGGAGAAACAAAGGGCTCCCTTGGTAAATAGAAACCACACATGCACCATGAGTTTCAAATACAAATTTATGCCATCCAAAGTTATGCAGTAATACACAAAGATACACTAAGAAATAAACTGATACACAAAGACAACTGGAAAAAAATCACTAAATGATTAAGTAGCAGTGTAAAATTCTCAGTATGAGTTCACAATCTGAAGACTTGCAAAACACATAAGGAAATGATGCATCCTGAATGAGAGTTGGTATATACACTTCAATGATGATTAGACTATGAGAACTTGAGAGGATAGAAAGCTTTGAAGACTTTCTGAAATAGCTGAATTTAAATAACAGGACAGATAAAAGCTGATATAAAAAAAATAAGAAAGGGTAGGTATTTGGCATTACAGTTAATATGCCTGCATCCTATATTAAAGTGACAGGGTTTGAATCCTGGCTCCACTCCCGATTCTAGTTTCTAGATTCTGGGAGTCAACAGGCAATGGTTCAAGAAGTTGGGTCCCTGCCCAAGTGGGAAAACTGAATTGAGTTCTCAGCTCCCAGCTTCAGGAAGGCCCACGCTCAGCTTTGCAGGCATTTAGGGAAGTGAACCAGTAGATGAGAACACTCTCCACCCACCCCTCCCCAACTCTCAAGTAAAAAAAATACAAAACAAAACATGAAAAGTACAAGAGTATGAAAAGTTAACAACCTGGCAACAACACATTAGAATGTAATAGTACAAAAAGCACATGAAAGGACACAAAGGATAGAAAGAGAATATCCAAGACATGTTTTGTTCAGTTAGAGCTCTAAAAGTGGATAATAGATCATCAATATTTGAAAGATAAAGGCTAAGAATTGATCAGAGTTTAAAAAAATTAATGAATTTTAAGTTAAAAGAAGTACAATAAGCCATAAAAGAACATACTTAAATACACACTGAAACACTGCAGAAAACCAATGACCAAGAAAAAAACATAAAGCAATCAGAGAGAAAGAACAGTTTTTCTATAAAGAAAGAAGCAATGCTCAAACAGCAGGCTTCTTGCTATCAAGAATTTAGGTCATAAGACAGTGGAATAACACTAAGCCTTAAAACCTAGAGAAAATAATTACCAATATAAATTTCTCTACCAGCTTCACTATCATTTAAACAATTACATATATCATTTTCAGAAAAAAAATGTTTGTTGCTCACATACCCCCTTTTTAAAAACTACTTAAGGACGCACAACAATAAAAAGAAAATTGAACCCAGAAGGAGTAGGGTACATGGCTGACTGTTGAAAGCCAAAAAATGATAAAGGTGAATCAAAATAGACTGTGAAAATTATAATACAACAATTTCCCTGTGTGCAGGGGAGGATGTATTCCAAGACCCCCAGTGGATGCTTGAAGTGGTGGAGAGTACCAAACCCTGTATATACCATGTGTTTTCCTATCTGTCCTTCAGTGTTACCACATAGTACCAGAATCAATCTGTCCATTTGTGTTTCATTCCTTGGTGCCTCCTTTGCATCACCATTTTTGTTCTTTGGGGCCATAACTAAGTGTGAAAAGGGTTATTTGAACATTACCACTGTAATACCAGTAGACCCAGTAGGTAAAATGGCTACTACCTGACTGATGGACAGATAGCATACACAGCATTGATAAAGTGGACAAATCTAAGATTTCCATCCCAGGCAGAAAAGGGCATCCTTTTCTTCTCACAGCAAAGATAAAGGAACTTGGACTATCTTTGCCCTCCATTCCTGTTATAGTAGATTCCCTCCCTATTGGAACCAAAGAAAGTAGCTATTAATTAGGATCAAGCAGCTGTTAAAATGTATTTATAATCTGCAACTTACGCCACTGTTCCCTCAAAAGGCAAGGTGCACCTGGTTGGTGCCCACTGAACTATACAGGTTTAATTTGATTTGGATTGATGTCACTGAAAACCAGGGATTGCATACACAAAATACAGACCCACAACCCGCATTAGTACTGAATTACAAAGTTAACATCCACTGTTACAGGAGATGGGGAGCACCTGAACTTCCACATGTGACTGGGACAATACGAATGACACAACCACATTAGAAAACAGTTGGTTTGTTATAAAGTAAAGCATATAGCTACCCTACAACTCAAAAATTCCATGCTCAATTTTTTGCCTGGAGAAATTAAAACTAATACCCACAAAAACTTTGGACAAGAGTATTCATACCATTATAACTCACAAAAGCCCCAAACTTGACACAAGCCAAATGTGTCAGAAAATAATGGATCCATGCTTACAGTCTGTGCATGTCCCTTGATTGCATCTCAATTTTTCTCTCCCCCACTTTTTTAAAAAGATTTATTTTATTTATTTGAAAGGCAGAGTTACAGAGAGAGGGGGAAAGTTATAGAGAGTTATCCCATCAGCTGATTCACTCCCCAAAGGCCTCAATGGCTGGGGCAGGGCCAGGCTGAAGCCAGGAGCCTGGAACTTCATCCAGATCTCCCACGGGGATGCAGGGGCCCAAGCAGTTGGACTGTCCTCCTCTGCTCTCCCAGGCATGTTAACAGGGAGCTGGATTAGATGTGGAGCAGCTGGGACTCAAACCAGCGCCCATATGGGATGGCAGCCGCTTAACCAGCTACGCAACCACACTGGCCGTGCATCTTAATAAGTACAGAACATAGGGTCTTCTAGGGTGCAGTACTGGCCCAGATTGCCCTCATGAGCAGAGAACACAGCAGATATTTAGCAAGCAAACAAACAAAAAAGGTCCCAAGGTGTGGCATACTCATCAATGGCTTTTGCAGATTGACACTGTCTAAATTGTTATTTACAATGTACATGCTGTTCCCTGGGAACCGGAGTGTGTGCATGGACCCCCAAAGGGAGTACACATCAATTCAAGATTAGGTTTTTCAGAGAACACTTTGAAGAATTGAGTTAATCTTCCCCATCAGCCGAAGCAGGCACTCAAATTGGCAGACATTTATTAGCAGTGACTTACCTGCTCTTGGAAGACACGACGTGCCAGCAATTACAGCTCAGCTATCCAAAGCTCTCTGGTTCTCCAGTAAGAGTTTCCTAGGTGGGAAACATTGAAATGGCTGTGTTATAAAGATCTTCCTTGCTAAGCTTAGGAAAACGCCTGATTCTTCACCTAACAGGTGGCTTCTCTTTGTCTTCGGCAGGGGCACAAGAGGAAGCAAAGGAACAATGAAATGAAACTAAATGAGTGTGTTCAGCTCTGCAAGGCCTCTCCTGGTTCTGCAGGACTTCAGGAAGACTGGTGGCATACGCTGAGGAGGAGGGTGGGTGGGGGTGGGGTGGGGAAGGCAAGTCCCATGAAAGATTGGGGAATCCTTTGCTCTAATTTCTCCAGCTGCATTTTGTTCTGTTTACCTGCAGAAAAAGAAAGGGGAACAAAACGTTTTCTTTAATTTAGTGGGAGGCCTCTTGTTAATGCATCTTTCAGGCTCTATCCTTGTCATTTCTGTGTTTCGCTCACAACTTTGCCTCCACAGTCACGGTGGCGTGGATTAACACTAGTGTGCGTGTCCTGGCCCCTGTCCGCTCTCTCAGTTATTTCACAAAGCTGGTTGTACAGTGGTTTCTTCAGAGAAAGAGAAGGAAGACGACTGTTTGATAAGCTGCGGGCTAACTTTCAGGCATCAGCAAATGCAACGTGAGCACAATCCACAGACAGTGAAGGCTGCGGAAGAAATGGGCCAAATCCTCAGAAACCACTTGAAGAGTTCTCTACAAGGGGTTGAAAATACTTTAATCAGGGATTCCCAAGATCTGGTGTGTTTCAGGCAGTCAGTGAGGAATACGGGAGCAGGGTCTAAAGCAGAGCAGAATGCAAGGCACAATGTGGAGGCGGGCCCTGGCTCTCAGAGATCCTTCCTCCCTAGCTGGGACAGCAGGTGCACTCTACTTGGACGCTGACTTCGAGTAGAGTTTCCTTGGTTCGTGAGGTCATCACCACAGTCTTCACGCAGAGCCCCCCAGTGAGATGTTAAGTCTTCACTCTACAACCGTAGGGGATGTCACGTGGATAGGTGCTGTCGTTACCTGCTAAGAAAAGGGGCTGTTGTTGTTAGGACCCAAGCAGATGCCTAAGAATATTAAAAGATCCACTTGAATGTCTCTTGATATTTATGCTTTTCATGGAAGGACAACCCACCTTGACCCAAGGTCTTAGGGTCCACAAGGTTTCTCGTTTGAAATGAGAGGCAGTCAGAGCTGTAGCCAGCAGTGTTTGCCTTGTGGTCTGCATTTAACTGGTCTGATTTGCTCACGCAAAGTCCAAGGCTGACTTAGTGGCTAGCTCCCTCACCCAGAAAACCAATGAGTGTGTCCTTTAAGGAAAACAGAAGTACTAACAACCCCAGATGTCACTGGTATGGTGGGCAAAGAGTTCCTGGGGCCAGATGTCATTATAGATGTCTGTCCCACAGCCACCCGTGGTAAAGATGGCTGCTCCCCAGTCTCCTTTGGGTCCCAAGGCCATCCCTTTGTTTTCCATGGAAACTGATCATCATTTTGTTGCACATTGTCTTAAAATCATCCATTATTTATATTATTTTTAATGGAGGAAATTAGCATATCAAATTGGGTATTTCAAACATATAAGTACATTCTACTTTCTAAATATCCTATAAAATTCTTCAAGTTTTCCCTTTGCTCTGTGGAAAATTCACTTTTATCTTTTATGATTGTCATTTTAGCCTTTCTGAATTTTTTGCCCCATTGGAATGGCTCATTTTGTATGTTGGGATAGCCGCAAGTTATAATTCACCACAGGTAGCATGTTTTAACATCCCTTATTTTTTATTTTTTTTGAGCTGCTCATCAACATAGCAGCAGTGATATTTAAGTGACCTCATGATTCTGGAGTCTGGCCTTTCTCCTTCTCCCCCTCATCATTCTACAGTTTGATATAGAAGTACATACATCCTTGACTGCCATTAGACATTACCTCCTAGAAAAGCTAGGAAGAGGCTGATGTTAAATAATCCCTGAAATAATGCCATCCAAATACTGATCGCGTCTATATTTCATGCCATCTTTATAACTCAGTTGAAAGTTGCCATCATTCTTGTGAAGTACTTGACAAGCGCAATCTGCTAGGAGCTCATTTTCCTATGACTCCTAAATGTTAGTGCCACTCAGCCTCAGTAATGAGTTACAGTGGAAAACACAGGCAGATAAGATGGACAGAGGTTGTCTAATGGACAAAGATGAAAGAGACCTAACGTCCCTGCTAGGAACCGCAGGGATGGGAATTGTTCCCGCCCTGACCTCCTACTTATCATTGACAGCCACTTTATTCATTCATCTTACATGTGGGTGGCTTAGGAATGGGAGAAGGGCATTCTTTGCCTGAAAACTGAAGAGAAAGGAAAGTGAGTTTTGTATCCAGAAAACTAAGGATGAGGAATAAATATCATCAGCCCCATGCCGGAATTTATTTAAACTTCAATTAGTGAATACAATGCATTTTTCAATTTTTTTCCTTCTTTATGCTTTTTGAACTCTATTTGGCTCTATGATTTTAGGCTTTTAAACAAGGAGTAAAAATTTACATTTCAATAGTGAAAAATTAAAAATCTAGTTATTGGCCAGATTGAAGACACCTGAAGAGAGGAAACTTGTACTCACTGGCACTGTCATTGCACAGGCCACATAATGGAATAAATTTGAAAAGCTGATTGAGTCTCCCCGACATGAATTATGGGTGTAAGTTTCCAACCACACTTCTACCACACTGTGTGGTGGAAAGGGTTACAGGAAGGAGGGAAGAAAATTGTTCTGCATTAGTCATGTTTGCATACAGAGGATCGAAGTAGGTCTTCAACATAATAGTTCTAATTAAAAAGGTACTCACTAAAGGAGAGACAAAGGGGCTTTTCCTCTAGCTGGTAACTATTCAGATGATGGACAAGTCTTCTTTCATAAAAGCTTACAAAGGAGGCATCTGAAACACTGTCTGTGATACTGGGTCACATATTAATCACCGTAGCTAATTGTAAATCTTTCTATGAAACGCTGAAAAGCCTCTTTGTGAATTAATACAGTTCTGCTTGATGCACTCGATTTGAAAAGACATTTCTCTGTATGTGGTGCATGTCAGCTTTGCTTTGAAAAATAACAAAGTTAGCAGAATACGTTCAATATATTTTCTTGGGGAATTGGGTTTTTATCATATGACTCATGGAGGATTTGCCTTACCCTGACATTTGTGATATAAAGGAAAACCAGAAAAAAAAAAGTAATTTTCTTGATCAAGATATGTTTTTACTTAATACAAATAAATGTAGTCTGTTGCTTGCAAGGAAAAAAAGTCTTCTGATATCTGGTATAAACTGCTAAATAGGATAATATGTGCCTCTTTTGTTGAACCAGCACTTAAATGCTGGACTGCTTCTAAATCTGTTTATTTCTTTTCATCTGTGCCATACACTAAGAAACTTAAACAGCTGTTGCCTTCATACTATATTTGTTAGAGCAGAGTACAAATAAAATTGTTTGAGAGGATAATGTGGAATTATTTGTGTTATGTGAAATTTATTCTTTAGCCGCAAGTGATTAATAACTTGAAAAGTTCATATAATACTGTTTGGGTTTAACTGTGTATGTTTAAAATTGTAATCATTGTAATTATGTGTGTTTAAAATTGCCCATGTAAATCAACCTTAAATTAATAGTGGTTGGTGCTAACACTGATTAGGGTTCTGGCCATGTGTGTCAACATTCAAGCTGTGAAATAGTTTAAAAAGTAGCAGAAGATGGTCCAAGTCCTTGTTGAGATTAAAGTCAGTAGTCCCAAGAGCATTGGTTCAATCTTTGGGGTCCATCATCCATTTATAGAATTCTTTCTGAACCACTTTTATAAACCAGGCAGTATAATGGCCATGGAGTCAGGTGGCCATGGTCCTGCTCAGTCTACTGCTGACAGAATTACAATAGAATTGCACATTTGCTAAAAGCTGGCAATGGGCCACCAAAAATCACTATGGGAAAAACTCAGTGTTCTTTTGGAAGTGGAAAAATGCATGTATTCCATCAAATTTAACTCCCTTTATCTCCTGCAGAAGAGGTGCTTCCACGGTTATTGTTCTAGAAGGCAATCAAGAAAGTCAACACCTATCATCAAAAAAGCCAGAGATTTAATGTTGAAGGAGGATAGGTTGGGAGCATTTTTTCCAGTAGTAAAGCTAGTTTGATGAGGGAAAATTGTAGGCAGGATAGTCTCATGCTGCAATGGGCAACCTCAGCACAAATGCTTCAGAGTGACAGAAAAGATAATTTGACATGAATCTAGCACTTCTGGATACCATTTTTCATCTACACCCAATTTTTCATCTCTTTGCCTGTCATTCTTATGTTTCTCTCTCAACACTTCTGTCCCTTTCTTTGCCTTACATCGACCAAAGATGCCTCGAAACTTTTCTTGAGTGATAGCTCCTAGGGCTAAAAGGGATAATGATACCTATTTAAGTTCTTTGTGCCAGTACTATGGCCCAGTTGTGAGACTGAAAAACATAGCACCTCTGGTACTTGTTTTGGAAGATGGAAACAGTAATACATACCTGAACTCTCTTACAAATTTAGCATGGATACATGTCAACATATTAGACTGTGTCAACTAGGAAAGCACTAGGTAAATGATTGGCTTAAGATTCTTGCAGTTTGATACTGTAGGCAAATGGTCTTTTTTCCACCTCAGGCCTCTTTACCAAAAGAATCAATGGTGCTTACAATTAGGAAGTAAACAGGAAATCCAATTCTATCAAAGTTGATTTAAACTTTACCCATGAGGACCAGAGAAAATTATTTTTCAGAAATTTAGAGAATTAGTGCATTTGAAAAACACATACACACAGAACACTGACACTTGTTAAAGTCATCTCTGACAATAACTGTGATGAATATGAAGTTAAAGGAAAAGAAAGTGCAGCTCTCTGTCTCTTGGTATGCATGCAGGGAATGTAGCTGGAGATAATTTGCTTTTCTAGGGAAGACACACATTTGCTCACCCTACTTAAATTGGATGTGGCAATGTGACCTGCTTTGTCCAATGATCTGTGGGCAGCAATGACAGGCGTCACTTCGAGTAGAACCGTGAGAACTCACTCTTCTTTTCCCTTCTGCCGTGATCAGCACCATCCCAGACAGGCTGCTGTGTCAGCATAGACGGAGATTTGGGTTTCAAGCAACCCCCATTGAGAAGGTAACATGAGTGGGAAATAAAATTATGGTTTGAGATCTGGGGTCATTTGTTACTCTAGTGTAACCTAGCCTATACTTATTGATACATATGCCATCAACACATTTAAATAAAAAGTCCAAGGTCGGGCTTTTAGTCTAGTGGTTAAAGACTGGATTAGATGCCTGCATCCCATATTGGAGTACCTGGGTTCAAAACCCAGTTCCAGCTCCTGACTCCAGCTTCCTGCTAATGCACACTCTACGAGGTAGTTGTGATGGTACAAGTAATTGGATTCCTGCCACCCACCTGGGAGACCTGGTTGGAGTTCCTGGCTCCCAGCTTTGGCCTGAAACCAGCCCTAACAATTGCAGATATTTGGGGAGTTAACAAACGAATAGAATCAATCTCAATCTCTCTCTCTCTCTCTCTTCATCTCTCCCTCTCTCCCTCCTTCTCAAATAAATAAATGAAATTTTTAAAAATCCAAAATCAGGGGCCGATGCTGTGGCATAGTAAGTTAAGCCTCTGTCTGCAGCTCTGGTGTCCCATATGGGCTCTGGTTCGAGCCCCGGCTGCTCCACTTCCAATCCAGCTCTCTGCTATGGCCTGGGAAAGCAGCACAAGATGGCCCAAGTGCTTGGGCCCCTGCACCTATGTGGGAGACTCGGAAGAAGCTCCTGGCTTGGATCAGCCCAGTTCTGGAGAGTGAACCAGCTGATAGAAGACCTCCCTCTCTCTCTCCCTCTATCTGTAACTCTGCCTCTCACATACATAAATATTAAAAAAAATTTCAAAATCAATATGATCTGCTCACCCAACCTCATCTTCTATAATTTACAACTTGGTTTACAGTCCTGTCAGCATATTGACCTTCTGTCTATTCCTAAAACAGTCCAAGTTCTTTCCAGTCTCAAGGTCTTTGAACTTTAAAGGTCTTTATTCCCATGCCCACTAGACTGGTAGCTTGTCATCCTTAAGGTCTCAGCTGTCATGTCACCTCCTTGAGATGCTTTTCCTGACAACCCAATTTCACAGTAGATCCCCCTTCACAAATTGTGTTTTCCTATCTGACCTCATATTTGCCACTTCAGAACATTTATAATAATTTATACAGTTTGTTTATAGAACAGGAACAGAAATTTGTCAGTCACAACTCATATGCAAAATTAGGTAGCTCTTTTTCTAGCCCAATAGCTGTACTGACCTCATTCCCAAGATTCTATCCAGTTGATTAGAGAAGATTATAGAGAAAAAAACCTTAAATCTATCGAGTAAAGTTATTTCAGCCTTTTCCAGTGTAAACTTTTCATTCCAGGACAAAGATTTAATCAGATTTCAGGTTTAAATTCCTGACTGAGGCCACTCAAATTTTTGTGTGCTTAGATTAAAAGCCTTGGTTTCTAATCATTGTATTAGAAAACTATCAAGTAACCAATAAATATAAATATAAACACAACAGTTACTACAGTATTTAAAGAGTAATAGTTGAAGTGTTTTGTTAAGAAGGATATTAAGAATTAAATGACAGATTGCTGAAAAAGCAACAGAAAGAAGAACCTGCTACAGTCTGAATGCTATTGTCCCCTCCAGCTCCTAGGCTGGAACCCAATATCCAGTGTGACAGTATTAAGGGGAGTGGTCATAAAGCAGGAGGGCTCTGTTCCCATGCATCTGATTCGAGGTTGAAGGGAGTTGCCCATCCTATTCTGCTAGCAAGCCCTCAGAAGATACAGAATCTGCCGGTGCCTTGACATTGGCCTTGCCAGCCTCCAGAATGCTGAGCAATGATTTTCTGTTGTTTATAAATCACTCAATCTATGGTATTTTGTTGTAGCTGCACAAAACAGACTAAGATTAACAATACTAAAAATGGGAGGTGGGGCTGGCACTGTGGCATATCTGGTAAAGCCACCACCTGCATTGCCAGCATCCTATATGTGTTCCGGTTCAAGTCCTGGCTGTTCCACTTCCGAGCCACCTCTCTGCTATGGCCTGGGAAAGCATAGGAGATGACCCAAGTCCTTGGGCCCCTGCACCCACGTGGGAGACCTGGCAGAAGCTCTTGGCTCATGGCTTTGGATTGGCACAGCTCCGGCCATTGTGGCCAACTAGGGAGTGAACCAGTGGATGAAAGACCTCTCTCTCTACCTCTCCTTCTCCCTCTGGGTAACTCTGACTTTCAAATAAATAAATAAATCTTAAAAAAAATGGGAGGTGAAGTCAAAGCTGTTCTTAGAGGAAAGTTTAGCTATCAATGCTCTAATTGTATCAAAGCATATTTCCATTAAAAATGAAAAGATATTTTAAAAGCACTCAAGAAAATTAAGACATATATATGTACATACATATATACATGCATACATATATACATGTATATTTTTTCACATATATGTGAAAAATTAATATAATATAAAAAGGAGATAAATCTGCTACCTTTTGAAAATCCATTAAAACATAAATATCCAACTACCATCATGAATAACTTTAAAAGTATAGCAATATAGAAATTTGAAGTATGAGCACAATAAATCTAAAGTTTATGCATGACTATTTAATCAATAACTAATCCAAGTCCAAAATTTTTTAAAAAATAAAATTTACCAAACAATATAATATGAAGTGAAAGAGCCACATAAGACAAATTGATGGCAGAAATGAGAAAAGATAGTAAAAACTTACCAATGATAATTATCTTCAAGGGAACTTCAAAAAGTTTACAGAAAAAGTAATTGAAAGATGTTTATTTTGTTGTAAAAAATTTTGAAAACAATGCAGTTAGTTTATAATACATATTTTCTAAAAAACTTTTTGAAGACTCTTCATCTATATCATGTATCATCTATATCTAAATAATATGTAAAATTATGAAAAACAGGAATAATCACAGATAATAGTCTTGACTTGTTTTCATGACATACTATTTTGATAACTAAATCATACTTCATGTAATTTGTGTACACTGATTTCTTACTGGGTTGTATTGCAAGCATTTTCTTGTCTGTCAAAGATTTTGCTAAGTCATTTACAAGTATTCATCACATGGCTGTAAATTCTGTAACCACTTCCTTTTTCTATGATACTTAGATTATTGGAAGGTTTTTCCTATTTTAAATGACACTAAAAAGAATGCTTTGGGCTACAAATTTCTGTTTTCCTCAAAGTATATTTCCAGAGGAGGAATTCCAGGATTTGAACGCTTGAAACTTACCACCAAATTACTTTGCAAAGTCTTCCTGCTAACAACTATAAAATGAGAATTTCTATGTAATATAACCCTCACTGAGTTGAGGGCCCTGAAAACATAACACTAAACCACATCAATGTAAGAAATGTCTTAACATTATTATTTTAATTAGTACTTGTTTATTTACTGATGGAAGTGGACATATTTCTGTGAGCTGTGTACATTTCTTGATGGGAGTACTAATATGTTCACGTCCTTTGGTCATTTATCAACTGGGATTTTGAGTTGTTTTTTTCTTTACTGGTATGCAAGAGTCTTTATATCCTGAGATGATTATCTTTTTGTCATATTCCTTGCATACAGTTTTCTACTTGTGCTTTGTCTTATAATTGTGATAGTGATATTTTC